TGGTTGGCAGCTCTGCATCTCCTTAGAAGACATATTTTAGGCATAACTGCATCTTGAATTGTTTCAGATTTCAAGAGAGTGGAAGAAAAACGATTGGTCAGTTGGTCACCAAATCAATACAGAGACATCAATAACAGATTTGTAAAGAAAGTATATTTTCAGCTTATCTCAAGTAATAAACCTTTTCATTTCATCTGAATACACATCCAAAGAGAGCTTTTCACCAAAGTGCACTGCGCTTTGTGAGCACTCATTACAACTGTTACCCATCCAAATTAATTCTTTCCTCGACAAGAATTAATCATTCTCTTTAACAATTCCTACCAGGGAAAAAATTAATATTTATTTTTCAGGGGCTACTTTTCAAGCTTTCCTGCATGAAAATAACATTCTAAAATTTGTTTTGCATTGAACTCTATGCAAATTTATTTAAAGGGGCTCTTTTCTGATTTTCGGGGGCCCGAGCCCCGTGTACATTTTTTCACTGAGTCCTTCATGTACATACTGTCTGCTCCATGTATTACATTCAACCAATAAATTATATATCCATACAAATGCATGTTATTAAACTCACAAATCCCCACTCATAGCAAAGCTCTACATCCAAAATGCAATTCATTCAAATGCTCTGTTTATTGTGATCTCGATAGGTGTTGTCAAAAGGTGAAAGTGAAAGGAATTTGTCTGAACTGCCAGACGGACATGACTTGACTTGACTTGACTTGACTGTATATTCTCAATCTCATATTACAAGTACATTGTCAGTCAGTAGTGGGACCAGAATTCTATGAGAACCCCAAACAAAATAGTAATCAGGCTTTTGTGACATTCAACAACAAAAAAAGGCATCAGCTCATGATTCTTCTTTCTTTCCTCCTCTCTCCCCCCCCCCCTTTTTTTTTCCAATTTGGCCAAGAGGGCATGTGACCCTGGTGCCCCCCCTCCTTACTCACTCTGCTGAGTGTATTCCAAAGCTATTCCAATTGCATGCAGAGTCACAGGGCTTGACACATCGGTCTTAGAGGCTGTTCACACCGGCAGAGATAGCGCGCGCTAGACCGCGCTATCTCTGCGGTGTGGGAGGTACAACGTCGTTTCGGTCCACCCAACAGCGAGCCACTGCGAGCCAAAACGGCGTGCCACTAGAGCACCTCTTGGGGGTGGTCCACGAGAGATAGCGCGGTCTAGTGAACAACCTCCTAGATTCTAGCTCTAATCCTTAAAGGTAAAGACCAGTAATGGTCATGCGATTGCATTGTGAAAGAAACGTTGTGGAATCGATCAGAAAAGGTCGATCATCTAGCATCTAGCATCTGCAAGGTTCTGGAATCATCAAAATGATAAGAAATTTGGCTCATTCTTCGTAAAGTTACAAGCACTATACACAGAAAGATGTATATGGGACTACCCTATCTCTCTCACCAGACCATGAGAGAAATAAATTTACCAAATATATGAATTAGTAGGCGGTTTCCCGGCAAATTTTTTTATCATCATGTATTAGTCAAAACATATTCTTTCACATGATTGGTAATGAGAGCTTCCATTTCATTTTTTGAAATTGGGGCGTTGCCAATACTGGTCTTTACCTTTAAAAAAATTGCAATAAAAAACAAAGGCCTTGTAGATGCAATCCCAACAAATCTAAAACTGCATCCCTTTTGAAACTGAAAAAATAAAAGTCCTGATGCAGAGGTATAACCATGAACCTACTACTACTTTACAGTAGGTCCATGGTATAACCAAGTAAATGTTTTCCTATGCCTGTCAGTGCAGGAGACAGTGTTTACTGGATGAGGTAATGTCTAAATGAGTTCCTTATATGGGTGGCTTCAGAGTCAGACCACACCCTCATGGGTCAATGCACTTTCTCATATTTGTCAACAAATCTACCACACCCCTGCTGTGTTTTTATACACAAACACAATTTATTTGCTCTCCCTTTCTCAGCATCCTTCACAATCCCTCCCTCCCTCCCTCCCCCTCTCTCTCTCCCTCCCCTCTCTCTCTCCCTCCCCTCTCTCTGTCCCTCCCCTCTCCCCCCCCCCTCTCTTTCTTTCTTTCTCTCTCTAAGTTGTCTTTACTTCCGTGTTTCTCTTTCCATCTATTAAAGGTAATACAAAGTTTTGGGAAATATTAAAAATTGGGTGGATAGTGATTCTTTACAACTTTGATATATTTGGATGCCCCTGTGGATATATTATAAGCACCAGAAAATTTAGCCCCTAAAATACTTCTGCTTTCGAGAAAAATTGAATATAACAATTTACTGGTGCTCCCGGTAAATTTTGATAAATTTCAAATAGCGCCTACGGCCGTACAATGGTAGCTGCGACCATGAAAATCTCAGAATATTTAGTTGCGATATATAATTTCCAAACGGGAATAGCTAATCAGTTGATTTTAGTCCAGAAACATTGTTTTATAGCGTAATTAATATCTTGACCTTGACAGGGAGCTATACAACATAAAGAGTTAATTATTTAGAATTTCATAACTTTAGACTCAATTTCAACCGCGACAACGATCACTGAATATTGTAGGATCGCATATTCCAATATATTCATTTGAACTAAACTCATTACCCCAAACCAAAACTTTGTATTACCTTTAATTATCATTGCTTTCTAGTCCACCATTTATGCAAAGTAAATATACTGCTGACAACACAAATCTCAGTGCAGATATTCATGAACATGATTCAATAAATTACTAGAAGAGAACGTGAGACCACAGTCTGGAATGAGATTTACAAAAGGTGCGAACGACTTGCTTTGTGATCAAGTATAAAACCGGGTCACGGTACTAATCAATCAATCAGTTCCCGAAAGAAGGACAAATTATGCGTAACATTTGTCAACAACATACATTGAATGTGTTCATGTAGGTATTCCATCAGTATATATTATTATGGTATTCCTGAATTTACAATGTACATGTAATTTACATTGTATGTAACAGGTTTCTGAATTATTTTCTAAAGCTTGAATTGACCTTTAAAAAAAAAGCAACATACAATTCCTTGTACAGCTTGAACTGGCTTGCCAAGAAACAACATAAAAATCCTCACACATCCTGGAAGAAGACTAGTCCAATCAAAATAGAATTAGAAAACCGACCAGACAGGCAAAGAGAAAACATTTAAATCCTCTCGAAGAAAGAAGGAATGAAAAGAAAGAGAAGTTGCTACTGTGGAACTACAACACAGCGAGCTCGTCTTGAACTTTCAACTCAACAAATAAAACACAAGACAGAAAAGAGGCTTACAACTGGAGCACACTGTGTGCTGAAAATTCACAAAAACACAAAATAGGTAGGGTGTACAACATGTAAATACCCACTGGCTTAGCCTGGTTACCGAGCATGCATGTAGTCTGCCGGTACAGGCTCTAATAAGACACTACACACATATCCATAAAGTCTTGAGCTACATGTAAGCCTAACCCAGTCAGCGTCTGTGTCAAATAAAAAGGATTCGCAATGCAGCGGCTATGGAGTGCAGCTGACTGTGATGTCATAATAGTCTCACCGTTCAGACACTCTGTTATGCACTATGACCAACAAGGTCAAAGGTCAAGGTAAGCATGGTGTTTTGTCACAAGACCGTTTCTGCTGTATATAATTTTCCTTCTGTTTTATTATTGATTTATATGATGATATACAGTATGTTTACAAACAGAATATTGATTGGTTACATTGCATTGTAAATTGATTTATATGATTTATATGTTCATTAACAGATGATTGATGTACATGTACATCAATAAAGTTTAATAAATACAATACAGTACAATACATTACAGTAATGATTGTGACACTGGCTTAGAAACGCATAACAAGTATGTACACATTGTCAATAACATTAACATAATACGCCAACCGAATGATATTACACTGGCAATAGCTGAAATCCATTATTATTATCACAGGTCTCTATGCAATAAAGGTGTGTCTGAGTATTATAACAATTTCTTGCTCCGTTACACCCTGTCATCTCTCTTTTATCACTCTCTTGCTCTCTCTCTCTCTCTTTCTCTTTCTCTCTCTCTCTCTCTCTCCTCTTTCTCTCTCTCTTTCTCTCTCTCTCTCCCTCTTTCTCTCTCTCTCTCCCTCTCTCTCTCTCTCTCTCTCTAGGCCTGTCTTCATCAGACAGAAGTTGCAAAATAACCTGCTATAAAACTAGCCAGATCTCACATTAGCAAGCTATTTTGCGTCTTCATCAGCCCTCAGTAGCAATTAGCAGGCTATTTGGTCGAGAAAATATCCAGAGAAAGGTTGGTCTTGTTTCCAAAATAACCCGCTATTTAGGAAATAGCAGGCTAATTTGCGCCCGTTTGCTTTGGGAAAATATCTTGAGTCTGAAAATAGCGGGTTATTTTGTAACTTCGGTCTGATGACGTCGGGCTTCTGTGTGTCGTACATATTGGTAGTTGTATGAGAAATAGGGAATTTTCATGTGAACCTTAATGAGGTTGCATCTTCACGAGTAAGTATTATGCTACAATCTTTGACAACACAAATGAAAGAGGAACTGTTTCTTTTGAACAAGATGGCATGAAAAGAGGAAGTTTAAACACCATGCAGCAGGCCATTAAAGTAGCACCTGCATAATATTAATAACATCTAGAGAAAAACAACCTTTGTTGCCAAGATCAGTGGATTTAAGCAAATAGTTTTGTGCTTCACTTGTTTGTTATTGTAGCGAAGACACTAGACAGTATTCAAATGCTGACATTGATACACTGACTTGCAACTGAGGTACACATGTAGATACAGTATGTTTACATGATTATAATACTGTACAAAATGTATACTAATAAAATTAAAAAAACAGATATGATCTGATCAGCCAACTGAAATGAATAAATTTGTGGGAATTGAAACTCATCCATCAGCTGAATACATAACTGTGACAATAAACATACAGTTGAAAATTAGTGTTATCTATAATAAGTGTTGTATAGAATAATGCCACCATTGGTGTCACTGTAAAAACTTACATTTTGGGGATTCCAATTCAATGTTGTAAAGAATTCAGAGTTTCCACACTAACATAAAACACCAGTTGGTAGAAGCTGCATGCCATATTCCATAGTGGTAGTTGCTTGTGAAAGTCTAGTAATTTCCAATGGAGATTCTGAAAAGAAATAAAAGAGAATATCAATGAGTACAAAATATAAATTTATATATAAACATTCATAATTCACATCATCTGCAAGAAAGCCATCTCCAGGAGGAAGAATATAACAAAGCTCCAATTTAGTTGATAAACCTTAGAACTACCGGTACTGTCCTGGGACTGTAAATGTGGTAATATTTGCGTTGCCTTAATTTTTGCACTAGAGTCGGTGTCCATGAATATTAAAACCTACGAATATATGGGCATGACTTCTTAAGTGTGTTTTGGGATAGCTCAGCGCGAAATAACAGCGTTTACAGTATATCACCAAGATTCTTTAGTAGTTCAAAAACCCATACTATTGCCTGTGATAAACCCACTTGGGAGATTGTGTACCATATTGTACAAATGGGGAGTGTACCAGTAGGCCTATATTATACTGACTATATCCTCATCACAATCAACCTCCGGTTCTCATTATTTTCTAGGAGTAGGATAAATCCTGTTCAAATGGCAAAATACAAATATGCTGGTAGCGTTCCAAATACACAGATTGTGAAAATATGTTCCATTCTGATTTCATGAAGGAAATCCCCCTTCATTCTATGAAACCATGACGCATTGGGTTACAAACAAACAGTGTAGTACAACACCGGCCTTTCTCAGCAACTGATAGGGAATAAATTTTACTGCTTCCTGACATGAATTCACGCAATAAAATGTATTTCAACCTAATATGATATCCACGTTTTTATAGCGCCAAACCCAAGTCCCCTCGGACTTTGCCTTGTACAGCAGGTTATAAACCAGTAAATGCTCACAAAGGAAAAAAACTAAACTTTTTCAACGTGTCATAAAAGAAATTCAGACAATAACTGTCAAGTTTGGCTCCAGATGCTCTTCTTTCGTTTGTTTGTAGTTCCTGTAAAAGACTGTGATGATGATTCACCTACCGATTTGCCTTTGAAGGCATTTTTTATATCCTTTTAACCTCTAAAAACCATGCCATAAAAAAAAAGGTGAAATATACTTCCAGATATGTGAATATCATACTAACAATACAATACCAATGAGTAGGAGTTGTTATTAAGGACAAATATACCATACAAAATAGAACAAAGTTGAATTGTGACAATACTTTCAGGAAACACTGGGTAAAAATGGATCTGCAGATAACAAACACTGCACCAACTTCCCATTACCTACATTACAGAAAATATGATTGATAAACAGTTTATGAGGAGGTGGAATTCCTTTGAAATTACAAAGGACAGTTTCAGGATTTATTACCATTTTCCAAGAAAAGAGGAAGTTGTGGAAATAGTTGGAGGTTTCCTGAGGAAGTACGCAAGCCTCAATGACCTTTTTCTTTCTTCCAATTTCACTGGGATATTCTATGATTTTCTGTTGAATTGGAACCCTAAAGTTGTAACAAACCTCACATCCTTACAAAATGTATATTTTTAGTATTAATATTTGGCATGTGATTTTGATACTCAAACTAAATACCACTACTGTAAAGAGATACTAGAACTGCAAATATGAAATTTCATGTGATGGTGTACCATTGACCCAAAGGTGTAAGAAATAGCTTTATATCGACAAACATGCACTTGATCATGCCAACTTCCATTAAATAAGAAAAGTTCATGAGCATAAAACCTTAGTGAATTTCATGACTGAGCAGTTGAGATTAATGCAAACTTTGTGTAATTAAATATTTAATTATACAACATAGTTCGACAACACTGAATTCTTACAATTCGTTAGAGGTTGTTGATAAATTTAAAAAACAGTCGTCAGAGTAATTTGTGAAAGTTTCATATCATAAAATGTTGTTGTTTTATAGTAATCTACAGTTCCATATACGATGTATGCCACCCACAAAATGCCCTAACAGGAAAAACACAATCTACATGTCATGTACATCAATTTAATCGTCACATTAGTGTCAAAACTGTCAACATGGCATGAGAACGCCTTGCATCATCAATGAAATCTCAAACAAACAAATGCTTTTCCTAAAACATGTGAATAATACAATCCAATTTACAGCAAGGCTGACTCCATTGTTGCTAAATACTTTCTGGATATAGATAGGGCTAAAAGACAGCCTTACAATGCCATTAAATGGCCTTGCTGGTAATACAACAGATATATTTACACGTCGATGTAAAGATGAAGATGAACAAAAGAAAATAAATTATAGACTCTACCTTCTCACCAAGGTCATTTCAATGACTAAGATTAATTTTGAAGTCTATTGCCTCTAGAAATCATTTCTAGTTCAGTAATTACATTGTTTTGGCAAGGATCAAAGCATGTTATAGTTCAAACTTTTATTCACCTTGTTGTCAAAATCATTGTAATCACAAATTCAGACCTTTTTTTTCCATTGATTCTACAGGGCAAAATCTAATCTCAGATTTCCCTAATCCTGAAATCACTCCATAAATTAATCTCTTCTCTGTCCATTCTGAGGAATATAAACAGTTTTCATATTAGTTTTAAATGTTATCCTTTAGTTGGACAGCTTAATATCAGTAAGGCAAGGGGTATGTCAATGTAATTGGCAAGCAATATATCACCTTGCACTTCTGTCAAAGAAAGAACAATTTCAAAGGAATAAAAACTTATGAGGCTCTAATATTTATGCAGTTCAATGTTTATAAAAACAGATGTCAACATAAATAATTATCTGGCTCATATGATGACAACCCCCCCCCCCCCCCCTTTCCTTGAAGAAGAAGGAGGAGGAAATTGGAAGAGGAGGAGAAGAAGAAGAAGATGATGAGGATGTCAAAGAAGACAAAGAGGAAGATAAAAAAGCAAAAGGATAAGAACAAGAACAAGATTAAAAAGAAGAAGAAGATAGAAGAAGATGTAGAAGAAGAAGGAGGAGAAGAAGATGGAAAAGAATAAGGCTACAAAAACAAAGAAGAAGAAGAAGAAAAAGCCTACGAAGAAGAAGAAGAAGAAGAGGTAGAAGATAGCTGAGCCTGGTTATGAACTTTGTCTCAGAACATCTCCTTTTCACTTGGTTGCGCGCTGCCTGGCTAGACCCAACCAATGTACCATTGATTGTCGTAACAAGAGATACAAGCAGTCTGATTACAAAGAAAAGAATACTGGGTAAGGTGCAGAAAAGGTCACTGGATGATTGGGATTGGGGAGCTCTATTTCTCCTTCAGATTCTCTCTTTGTATTCATCAAATCAGGGATAAGAATAATTATCCAGTCACAAGACACGTCAGAGCTCCATACAAAAGATCTCTTAACGGTCAGACGGTCAGATTTTCTCTCATTATACAACCCTCGTCTACAGACAGATTAACCTTATGTTAAAATAAGTTATCCAATAGTATATACTTCTTGAACTGTTAATACTTCTTCTTCTACTACTACTACTTACTACTAATATTACTATCACTACCACTACTACTTCTTTTTATTTTGAATCATTAACCTGGGCAGAACCATCAGAACTCTCACTAAACATCAAGGAATGATCAGACAGTCCAATTTGCACTCATTACACAACTAACCCTCGCCTTTGGACAGTTATTCAATAATTATTCAATACAGTCTACTGTACAAGGACTTGACATTTAAAGATGAGACACACATTTTGTTTTACATAAAGAGTACTACTACGCTTTACATTTCGACATCTTATGAAACAAAGCTTAGTGAAAATGCCCAAGTCCTTTGGTGCGTGCAGTTGCTATTCATGTACACACACAAAATATGCGGCTTCTTTTTTGCGGCAGTTAACTGGGCCATATCCGAACAAGCCTTTATGGTTCTCGGCAAATTGAAATCAATATTACTGAATTGAAATCAATATTGTTAGCTTGACACTGATCAAGGGAGATTATGTTCTGATCCAAATATAAAATCAATTTGTTCACAATCATTATGAATAATCTCCACACTACAGTGTCAAAACATGTTAAAGTTTTCTATTTCTTGTTCTCATTTGATATATTTGCCATTATGTTGAAACCGTGAATATTAGTTTTCCGGTGTACGTATAAATGCGTCATCACAAACTTTATAGAAAACACACCTCTTTCCTGTATATTTATTTATCAAGCTGCGGGATAGATTCTTAACAATGAAATGTCAATAGATTTTGAGACCCTCTTATCACATTGGATGAAAGAGACACAGACAATACAGAATTGTGAAAAAAAAGCAATGGAAAGCAATAAAAACAGTCTCTGTTTGGTTGACATCGATTTGTGAGGCCATCTTACAAATCTATCCCAATTGTATGCAGTCAAACTGTTTATGATCCAGGCAGGGCTAAACAATAACAGGTACCCAAGAAACTTGGATGCTCAAAATTTCACAACATCAGGCTCATACATAGAGCCTCTGAAAATCTAAATCTGGACCCCTTTCCTAAAGAAGTTAGTGTTGAGCCCTGATTTAGGCTTTTAGGAATTTAGAAATGTTTTAGAATATCTACTACCTATTTGGTCTATTGCTCATTTAGTCTAATTTCCAGTTTGTCTAATGCCCACTGTGTCTACTATCCATTTGGTCTAATAATCATTCAATCATATAAATAATAATAATCATCATATGATTGTCAGACCTTTAATTAGAACTGGTTATATACCAAAGGGCAACAGACTCTTTGGTCAAACCTACAGTGTAGCCATTCATCAGAAAAGAAATGGCTACAATACATGAACCTGATCAAGGTTCAAAGATAATCCAAACGAGCTAAATAGTCAGAGCGTTAATTAATGAGTGTATTAGGTAATAATTGCTGTATTCTTACAATATCCTGACAGGTCCTAAACAAAACGTTTGAGGCTCTGAGCACTCATTAATGAGTGTATTAGGTCACTATTGCTGTATTAATTAACGAGTCTTCCTGCAATATCTTGTCAAATCCTGCGCAAATTACGACTGAATGGATCCTCTTAGAATATCAGCTGTGAGTCTGTGACCTCGATCGAGTCGTTGCGTACGTGTAGGATTTGCTTTGAACATGGCACGGTGAG